GAAAAAAAAAAAAAAAAAAAAAAAAAAAAATTTGGAAATGAAGAATAAGACGTACATCACTTTATGTACCACAGGAATAAAAAATTATAAAGAATAGGGACTTCTCTTTCTACACATTTCAGACAAATTCATGTTAAAACACTAAGAAGGAAAAAAAGTAACAAAGGCTTCTGGTTAGTGAGTCTAGGAAAAAGAAGGAAGCCATGTTCAGCTGAGTGGCTTCTGGGTGTCTCTATTCCCTGCCTGCCTACCAGCCTGCAGAGGACCCATTCTGGTCTGCTCTGCCACCTCGTGGTAAGCTTACTGGGGTGGCTCTGCAGCGCTGGTGGTGGGTGGTCAAAGTGAATTCTAGGATGAACTACTTGGAAGCACACATGACTACACATCTAAATCACATCCTCCAATCCATCTTTTATCAGATGTAAAGAAGTTTTATTTTGTTGATGTTTTTTAGTGTTGGTTTGTTTTTTTGGCAGCTGGCCAGTACAGGGAAGGAAAGTTTATGTATTTATCTCCTACGTTACTCTTATGTTCTTTAGTTGGTTCCAAGTTCCTAAGGAAAAAAGGAACTTTATTGGTGCCCTAAAAAAACATGACGCAGCTATTTTAAAACAAGTGAGACAGCTTTATATGTAGCAATACGGAATAATTTCCAACACATTGTGAAATGAAAAAACAAGGTGAAAAAGAGTTCTGCATACTGCAACTGTGTCAAATACAGACATACACACACTATACAAGGATACGTCATCACTGGAAAGATACATATGAAACTAAATGATGATGTCCCTGGAGAAAGGAACTGGTTTGACAATTGACAGAGGTTGTGGAGACTTACTTTTCACCAGTTTTTGTACCATGTATATATATTATCTACTTAAATAACTTAAAAAAGAAAATGTAAAACAGTAAGAGAATGAAAAAGGGAAAAATAATTCTCTCAGTTTTATACAAGTATTATCAAAGTTTAACATTCATAAGTATGGTGCATGATATCAGAAGTTTTTTTAAATCTCTAAATTCTATACTACAGAACCTATAAGAATATGGTTTAGACTGGCCAGATAGCTCAGCTGGTAAAAGCACAGTGTAATAACAGCAAGGTCAAGGGTTTGGGTCCCCAAACCAGTCAGCCGCCAAAAAAAAAAAAAAAATTGTGTGTGTGTATATCATATATAGTTTAGTACAAAAAGCCTGTTAAAAATAGATATAATAATTTACACATCAAAATATCTGTCCAAAGCAATACTCAATGTCAGAACAATTTCTTTAATTTGTCTTAGCAATTTGGGACAACTTTTATTATGAGATATAATTAAGATGACATTAATTATCATAGCTAGACATACTCTATTAACATATAAGGAATCAGGAGATATTTGAGAAAACAGAACTAATGGTTCTGTATCTATAAATGCCTTGCAAAGGTACACAGTATTTCTGAGTAGATTTTCTGAATAAGGATTTAACAGTATGTGCTAGGATTCTAATTAAAGACAAACCTAATCAGAGGAAAAAAACACCACAGGGGATAAAAGGGCCATGAATTCAGAGAAGGGAGAAAGAAGAGTGGCATAAAAAGGCTTTCTGCCTAAAAACGACCCTAAGACAGAAAATGACATAATCTATAATTAATTTCAAAAACAATGCACAATTTATCAGAAAAAAAATAACTGGTATTTGAAAATTATAATTAATGTTGAAGACGAGTTTTTGAGTTTTGAATACAAGTAACAAATATTTACATCACATAACTTAATGAGTAATATAAGCCATATTTATTGATAAATACCTGTTCTATCTGTATTCCATAACCTTTAAAGCCTGCATTGTCCCATGAAGTATTCCGGTAGATGTCATCAACTCTGTCAATCAGTTCTATCTGTGTGTGTAAAAGAAAAAGACACTATGTAGACCTTTACCACTCTTTGAAATGTAATACAAAATCTACAGGGATAAAAATTGTTTAGAGAAAATGCCATTGCAAGTTTCTACTGATTACAAAAACTAGCATTAAAGATGTTACTCTTTATCACCGACATCTCTAACAAAGAAATTATTCTTAACCCCAAAAGTGTTGTTACCAGAATAAAACAATGATACAGTTTACCCCAAATTTCAGGTAAAATAATAGGCTTTTTAAAACTGCCATTCTAATCAACTATGAAAATGAAATTTAAAAGTCAATCAATTTACCTAAAAGATTCCCTTCTAAGAAGTATTCCATCATCACTCTATCTCTTGGCAAGTACTTCTAACGCCTTCCCCTGAAACAGGTAAAGGGCAGTGATAGACAACTGCTAATCTTACTATCTCACCCTCACCCTGCCAAGTTCAGCACTGAGAAATGGGCAAAAGGAGGGCCAGAAGGAGTGAAGTGTGTTTCACCATTCCTCCTGTTCTCTGACTTGGAAAGACTGTGTGAGGAGGGACTGTATAAATCCCCAAGGACAACTACTGGAGAAAGAACAAGATGCAAATTACTTACTTTTCCTCAAAGAGAATAGTCTAGTGTTCAAAAACTGGGTGGATGATGTTTGTTCCAGCAACTGTGAAACAAGTTATAGGTCTAAGAAACCTTTCTTTGTTTATAAGTAACTGTAAGAAATGCTATTTTTAAGACTAGACTTCTGATTATGTTCATATGTGGTGTAAAGAACTAAGAGGTAAAGTAAGAGAAGCCCCTTAATACAAAACTCAGAAGAGAAAAGCTCTTTCAAGAAAGAATCCCTCTTACAAACAAGAATTACAATGATTCCTACTATCCTCATAATAAATTCATTCACTTGATATGAAGGGAACAGAAAGAAGGGTGAGAGAGGGTATGAATAAAATGAAGTGAAAAAAGCAAGGCAATGAGAAAGATGCCTTTTCTGCACTAGGCTTTTTGTTCATGAATAGCTGCATTCTCTTTTATTCCCTCAATAACAATATTTTGGTCAGTGCCAAGTTATCATGATGATGAGGTCATACTAACAAAAAATGTCAATGAGAAATGATTCCCTTGACTTTAAAAATTAAAACAGTTAAGGCTTAAAAATCCAGTGTCAACGCTTCCCTCATCTCTCTGCCCTAGAGTTAGTTACAATCATGAAAGTTCCACCTGCTTCATGCAGTTATAGTCCATGATTGGTTCTTAAACATAACATGAATAAAACTGACCTTCTCTGAAATATACACATAAGCAAAAAAATACGCACAGATTCAAGCAAATACACATATATATTTTTTACTCTGGAGCATACATCACACATGACACCACAGGTTCACTGCCATAGTAGCAGCAATATCTTTAAAGTCTCACTTGTATAAAGACAGAAGGATCACGTTATGAACTCTCCCCAAACTAATATGCATAAAAATGCTAATGTAAAGACAATAATAGTTCAAAGGTACAATGCGTTTGCAAAAATTTTAAACTATTGGCTGGCCAGTCAGCTCAGTTGGTTAGGGTGCAGTGTTATATAACACCAAGGTCAAGGGCTCAGATCCCCATACCAGCCAGCCGCCAAAAACACAAATAAAAAACATCTAAAACTATAATTTCCATATAGTAATGTAAGAAGTTCAGAGAATAGCACTCAAATATTTTGGGGAAATAACAGAACATCTGGAACAGATCTAGTCTCGTTAAGTTTCAAATTGTCACAGCCTTCTCTTAAATGGAATTTACGCACCTACGTGGATTTTTTTAACCAATTACCTTATGCAATACCAAGTTCTTACCAGGTAATTTGTGGTCGTGCTCTCTTCCCCTCTGCCCATGTATTTGTAAAAGCGATGATCTGCTACCACCAATAATTTACACGTGTTCTTCATGGGATTAGGATCAGCTCTTCTCTTCACCCGATGAACAAGCTCTAATATGAATTTGTATGCACTATTAAATCAAAATTCACCAAAACAAGGAAGTTTTTTATAGTAACACTTTAAATCTAGTATAATTTTGAAAAACAAACATTATTTGGGCCTAGTATCCTTAAAGGTATCTTGAACAAAAAAACAATTTGGAGGAAAACAGAGAAGTGAAAAGTAATCGAGGTTTTAAAATTGTAGAATTCAAAACCAAAGAAAAAAGTACTTCTCCAATTTTTAAAACACAGAAACCTTAAGAAGTGCTTAACAGAGTAAAACAATCACCTATTGCTGGGCTATGAAGCCATCAGCCATTTTTTTCTAGAAGTAGTCTACGAATTAACCGAAGTAACAGGAAAAAGTCAAGATAATCATACATTAAAAATTAGTTTGTGTTAATAGGACATCTTTCTTATCAAATAATCAAATTGTTTTAGAATTTCTTTAAATACTAAATGCTAGTAATATTATCTAAGGTCTTCAAAAATGAGGACAGCAGAACATCTCTCCAAGATGGTTATATGTTTTTTAAATGACCCTGAACAGATCTATCCAAAGACCGATAACATTTTTGTATTCAAAACAGTATATAGATCTCCCTTGCTTTCAACTGATTTCTTATAAACTCTACTGTTTTTCAACAATTTTGTCATTTCTAAATACCTGTAAATAAAGAGTATTTTCCTTCAGATCATTCAATTTCCCCTCTCCCTAATCTTTTTTAAAGTCCAATCTTGGGCCGGCCCTGTGGCTCACTCAGGAGAGTGCGGTGCTGATAACACCAAGGCCAAGGGTTCGGATCCCACAAAGGGATAGCCGGTTGGCTCACTGGGTGAGCATGGTGCTGACAACACCAAGTCAAGGGTTAAGATCCCCTTACCGGTCATCTTTTTAAAAAAAAAAAATAAAGTCCAATCTTTATTGTTCCCATTATTTTCTAGTGTTTTCAACTCTTACATTATAGACAAAGGAATTTTAATTTCTAGAACAAAACTCTATTTTTAAGACAAATACTATCACTTTATAATATGTCATTTTTTATCAATTAATAGTCACTTTTACTGAAGACAGCTGTAATATGCTTCCTATTTGAAATGTATTTTTTAAGCCTTACCTTCAGGTGGCTCTCTGTCTACTAGCCCTTTTGGAAGCAATTCTTCATTATCCACTTTTAAATAACCACACACTTTTGGAGACTGCAAACGTGAAACATTCTTGATATCTTCGGATTTATAAACTAACATTCTTCTGTCTTTAGTATCATTAATAAATCTCCAAAGTGGCTAAAACAGCAATGAACAAAATAAAAATTCCTAAACACTAAATTCTTCCAACATCCTTGCTTGTTCTTAGATAACATTCATTTCTAGGTTAAGTAAACTGACTAGTCATTTTAACCAAAATAAATCATTTCAACTTTTTTTTTTTCCCCTTTTAGTCTTTTTTACTGACCGGCAACGGGACCGCAACCCTCGGTGTTGTGCCCGCACCACGCTCAGCCAGTGAGCGGGAACCGGTCTCCACATGGGATCCGAACCCTCAGCGGGAGCGCCGCCACACTCCCAAGCGACGCACTCTCCAGTGCGCCACCGGGCCAGCCCTCAACTTTTATCATATGAAGTTTCTGTGCTGATAAATAAATACCTGGATTATTCTCTCTGATTATTTTATCTCTATAAGAAAAGTATTACTAGTTTGCACAAGTTATGAAATTTTTTAGAGGATCCGGAAGAGAAAAATGCAATTCCTTTTCATTCATTCAAAAATATTTATGTAGGGGCCGGCCCGGTGGTGCACTGCTACAGTGCGCCGCTTGGGAGCACGGTGGCGCTCCCGCTGAGGGTTCGGATCCCACATACAGACCGGTTCCCGCTCACTGGCTGAGCAAGGTGCAGGTGCAACACCGAGGGTTGCGATCCCGTTGCTGGTCCCAGTCCGGTATGGGCGCGACACTGAGGGTTGCGATCTGTTGCCGGACATGAAAAAAAAAAAAAAGACAAAAAAAAAAAATTTATGTAATGCCTACTGTATACTGGCATTGTTATAGGTGATGATGATATAGCAATAAAAGTTAGACAAGGTTTCTGTTCATGTAGCATTTCCATTCTAGTTTCCTTAACATTCAGGTGTTTGGCATCTTTTTGCTATGCTAGATTTTATGCACAGCAAAGAGAAAATACATTTTTATGAAAGAAGACTGAAAACTTGCAGCAATATGCCTGAAACTTATTATCAGTTTCAGGGAAAGCAATTTTTTAAAAATCTGCATTTACAATGCTGCATGTCCAGAGTAAATCACAACTAACATACTCCAAAGCCTACCCAAGTCAAACGGATGCTTCTGCATTTTCAAAACAAAGTTCTTCTCTATAAGGACACGAGATTCATCAGAACCAGGCAGTTTATGGCGCATGTACCCCCCCCCCAAAAAAAAATCTCTGTGTGTGTGTATATGTGTATGGGTACTTAAAATTTTGCAGAAAAATGGAATTAAAAGATAATACAAATCTTTACATGAACTGTTTCAAGTACCCTTGTATATCCCTATCAAGAAAATGCAAAGCAAAACCACAATGAGATGCTGCTTCATACCAACTAAGATGGCTATAATCAAAGACAAATACTGGTGAGGATGTGAAGAAATCAGTACCCTCATATATGCTGATGAGAATGTAAAATGGTACAGCCACTTTATCCACACATGATTATTATTTAGCAATAAAAAGAAATTAAGTACTCATGCTACAACATGGATGAAACTCGAAAACTTTATTCTAAGTGAGAGAAGCCACACACAACAGACCACACATTGTATGAGTCCATTAACATGAAATGACCACAATTGGTTAATCTAGAAACAGGAGATGTGGTTACCTGAGGCTGAGGGAGTTAGGGAGAGAGAAGGAAAAGCTAAACAGTTTCTTTTTGGGGTCATGAAAATGTTCTAAATTTGACTGTGGTGGTGTTTGCATAACTTTATGAATACACTAAAAACTACAGACGTACCAGCCAGCCACAAAAAAAGAAAAATTAAAAAAATTAAAACTATGTAATTGTATACATTACATACATATGGGTGAATAGTATAGTATACGAATTATATCTGTTGAATATGTACACACAAATACAAACACACACACCTTCTTTCATAATCCATGTCTGAGGTAGATTTAAGAAACAATGGTTATAGAATCTCAGGACTAGCAGAGACCTCAAAAGTTAACTAACCCAACTCCTGGGCTATAGGAATCTTCCATATTTAGTAAAGCTCACTTGGCCTATGAACAGGAGAAGAGAAAAAAAAATGTTTTTGGATCAAACATTTCTAAGTTCACATAAATAGTTTCCTAGTATAGCCAGTCTAGCATAGAAAAGACAGCAGGCTGTGGGATCAAAGACACCTGAGTTCAAACTTCAACCTTACTTCACTATGTGCTTTGGACAAGTAATTCAGTCTATCTTGAGCATAACTTCTCTCACTGAGCATAACTTCTCTCATTAGGTAAAGTAGTGATAATACCTAACTTGAAGATAATGTAAAATAATGAATCCAGTTATGTATTGAGATTTCAAAAGAAAGGTAGTCATTATTAATAAAAAGCTAATCCTATTACCACTTTTACTAATAGGTTGCTGGAAAAAATCATCTGATGAATAACACCTCAACTAAACAGATGCACAAAAGGTGTGCCCAAGGCTGTTCATTAAAGCCTAATAGTGTTCACTATAGCCTAATATTTCAAAAATTAGAAATAAATCAAGCATCAATGGAGGACTGGTTAAATAAATGGTACATTGTTTCAGTGGAACAACAGGCAGCCTTTATTATGAATCCTAATTTAGATCTATATTTATTAACATAAAGAGATATTTATAATTATATTGTTTGGGACTTTTTTGGTGGCTGGCTGGTACAGGGACTGAACCCCTTATTACAATGTTAAGTGAAAAATGTGTGAAAACAAAATATACATATTGTATGGTCCTAGTTTTGCAGGAAAAGTCTGTACAATGTATATACATATAAAAAAATTGGAAAGATATTCAAAATATCAAGAATAGTTATCTGAAGATGTGGTAAGATTTAATAAAATCGTTCTGTTTTCTGAATTTTGCAAGGAGCATGTATTTTCAAAACAAAGGTATTTTTAAAAAACGAATTGAAAGCAGCAGCAAATTTAAGACACCCTAGTGATTAACTTGCCTATTCTAGAATTTATAACTTATTTATAATATCAGTTCCTTTACTTTGTACTAAACTTTTCTTTCTGGTAGGTAGACTTCCCAAAATATTGACATGAGATAGTCTAAACATTAACAGACTATGACACTGCAAGGCCATTGGTTCCTTTTTTTATAGACAAAGATCTATGTAATGTGGATGTTATTGAAATGTATAGGGTTTCCAGCACTAGCACCCTGTCTTACCACTAACCAGCACTCAAACACACCTGAAAATTTCATTTTGACTTACCTGAATTACAATTTTCCTACAGGTGATCTGTTTTGGTGCTATCACCACCACTACCCAGAGTATTCTCATTTTCTGAGAAACAAAGAATCAACTTAAAATACGCAGCAAAGGTTTTATTTCCTAGACCAGTAACTGACATGTGGATATGCATCTTCCACAAACATGACTATTTTGGTCTTGATTTCTACTGCTAGTCCTTCAATATAACAAGGACTATACATAACAAGTGTCTAGAATATAACAAGTGGACAGAGCCTGACAGTTTCCTAAAGTTTCCTCAGACTGTGAATTATCACCTTTTACTGATCTAGGCTTTGCAGAGTATCTAGTGGAGAAAGGGAGAAGTGGAGAAAGGGAGAAGTGAAGAAATCAAGACTTTGCCTTCATCTTTGAAAATGTTTACACTTAGAGTAGAATTATTACATAAAGAATAGGAAAAGTGAGTCAGGAAGGAAAAAAGTTTTCTCTTCCTATTATCCACCCCTCATGTGACTCTCTCAATTACGGTACTTAGAAATAAAGGGTGCATCTTGTGACAGCTTCTTAGAAATGTAAAAAATATTATCCTTTTTCTTTTTTAAATCTACTTTCCTGGTATTAAAAAAAACTTTATATAAGTATAATTAATTTTCACCATTGTCATTTTAAAACAACTGAGAAGCTTTTTAAAAATCGGAGACACGAGGTATTGAAAAAAATTCAGGTGTAGATTTACCTCTATATTATATTCTGCCCCGTCTGTGTTGATTCTTATCGTAACATCATCATCTCCTATGTGGGCTAGAACCCTAGAATCAGGCTCACCTTAAGAGAAAAAGAAATGTTTTTTATTAATTAAAAAAATTTATATCAAGAAATCAACTATGCACTACTGTCAATAAAAACCAACCATACCCTCTATCAGAGAGGAATTTGCCTAGGTACTGTGAGAGCTCTGCAACCAAGAAACAAAGGCTCCAGAAAGTGAGATAATTCACACCTCCTAAGGAGGAGCCTCAAGTCTTGTCATTTTAAACCTATCCCTTTCCCAAAACAAAACTGTAGATTTTCCTCTGGAATAACTCTACCTATTTTTGGGTAAGGAAGAACAAAGAGAAGGCAGAAAGCATGATTTGGAACATACATGCCTCGAACTGTACTATTCGGGAATTTCAAATGCCACTTCTTTTTTCTTATTGCAGAAAAAGTTCAAAAAGTAAACTGCAATTGCTTCTTTGATATATTTTCTCAAATAAATACATAATAAGATCATAAAGTAAATTATTTTATCTCCTAGTTTCCCTGTTTAAAAATCTCATAAGAGAAACCTACAATCCTTGCCTGAAGACAAGAGAAGGCTAAATTCTTTTCACTTGAGAGAAAATTAATTTTAATTATCAAGCCAGCCAGCTAGTATAACACGATAGATAACATCAATTTCCTCCTATTAGAATGCTTCTGCTTCCAAACTTAGATAGCTCAAACAAAACAAAGAATGTGCTTCTGTGACACTTTCCCCTCCTCACCAAAAAAGAATATGCAATCGAGTTAGATTTGGAGACCTAACACCACAGACACAAAGGCAAACGAACAAGTTCCATACTAACCAACCATGTGTCCACTGAAGAAGTCCTGCCATTTCACAGTGTACTCGCTTTCATCTTTACCGTCCACCACCACAACTTTGAAATTTTGTGAAAAGCGTTCAGTACTTGATGTCAGGTATAATTTAAAATGCCTGAAGAAAGAATGCATTCATATTTTACTTTTACCACATAAAATAGAAGCCTAATTTTCATTTACTTAAAATTTCTTAAAAAGCCAGAGGAGCTGACATTAACAAAACACTATGCAAATTATAACCAATGTTTTACTAGGTACCTGCTATAAAGACAAGTGGACTAATTCGTTTAGTTGTAAAAACTTGCAGACCAAAAGAAACTACAACTGGGGGAGAAAAGATTCAAAGAGTTTTTTTTTTTTTTTTTGTCTTTTTCCGTGTCCGGCAACGGATCGCAACCCTCAGTGTTGCCCCCGTACCCGGACCGGGGACCGACAACGGGATTGCAACCCTCGGTGCTGCTCCTGCACCTCGCTCAGCCAGTGAGCGGGAACCGGTCCGTATGTGGGATCCGAACCCTCGGGCGGGAGCGCCGCCGCGCTTCCCAAGCAGCGCACTTATCCAGTGCGCCACCGGGCCGGTCCCAGATTCAAAGAGTTTATGCATTCGTCTTTCCTGGAAACTCTTAAGAATAAAAAAACACACATCTGAGTAGTTGGAGTCCAGCTTATTTCAAAATTGTATCATTAAAGACTAATATTATTATATACTATTTATGGTATACCTACTTCGTGTTAGGCACTCTGTATCCATTATCTCCACTTCGTACCAGTGAAAACTGAGGCAAGGAGGTTAATCAACATTCTCAAGGTTACATAGCTAGTAAATAGTGAAACTGGAGATTGAACTTGGTTTATTTCAAAACCCTTTATTATGCTGCCTCTGGCAATCAAGCTGGGTAGTCTATGGGAAAACAATTTTTATTGCTGTGCAAAATTAATTACTGCTGCTTTAAAAGCACTCATGCTTTTTTTTCCCTTCTCAAAAGAACTTATCTTGAAAAAATGAATACACAATTACCATCAGGAAAATAAATGCAACATACCCAACACAGACATTAAAATACACACTCCAATTCTTTCATTGGCTTAATATTCTTTTCGTTTTCTACAAGTTTCAGTCATGGCATAAAAACTGCGAGTGGTGAGCAAGACTTTCAATTATTATTTACAGAGCCTTTCAATGCGCCCATGAACATCAAAGACAAAGAAAGGTATGTTATTCATCTCAGCCACAGGAACAAATTTTGTCAGCTGTGGTGTTGAAAATACAAAATGTTACTTCCCCATGGGTTTGCATAAGTCTTTAAGCTGCCAGGAAGAAATCTCAACTATAACTGTTTCCATGGCAACAAATATTTTTAACTTTTTAAGCAATAAACAAGGTAATTTTAGTTTGCTTGTGGTTTTTTAATGGTCAGAGGGAAAGACACACAATAGAACATTATTTCATAAAACCTTGGAACATTTTCTCCTACTATCCTAAAACAAATCTTCACACACATGCTCAGTTATGATTTCCCCCCCCTTCAGTTACACTGAAAATTTGGAAAGAGAAGCATTATAAATGTCTATTATAAATGCTTTATTATTTAGTTTTAAAACTCTATGAATTGCAATATTACTTTTAACTTAATGTTCTTTCCAGAAAAAGCACTGGAATTCCATTCTCCATTTTCCACATTAACGATAAAGACCAAGTAATGGTAAAATTCATGTTTTTTTCACTTTCCAATCTTAGCTTTTGACCTATAAAATATCCAACAGGATATCAGTCAAAATTTCTTTCACTTTATCCTCCCAAAATTATGTGAAGTCATTTACTTACAGACTTTCTTAATATATTCTTTTATCTTTCTGACTTTTTATTTAAGGATTTCCAGTAACTACCAGCTGATCAATCTGAATTAACATTTTCCTATCTTTTTTAATGGTCCATTTAGTCAGGTATATCACTTTATTTCTTTATCAGGTCTAGCCCTCCTCAAATTGTCTGAGATTTTTCACTTTTAGGAGGAATGTTTAACTTTTTCAAAAAAAAAAAAAAAATCTGGTAACATTACCAAAACAGTATCAAAATATTTGCAGCTTTTTTTTTCATGAGTTTAGAATAAGAGTATTTCTTGGCTTATAACAAACAGGAAATGTAACTTGTAAGGCGAATGTTTAAAGGTTTCTTTTTTTCATAAAGTTACCTGAACTCATCATGCAATATCTCAGCATTTCCATTGCTTTTTCAATCTCGAATATTAACATCCGAATTTAATGTAATGATCTCAGTTTAAATTATTTTGCCTTCCCTGCTATCTAAAAACAAAATCTTCTGGGCCGGCCCGTGGCTCACTCAGGAGAGTGCGGTGCTGATAACACCAAGGCCCCGGGGTAACATCCGAATTTAATGTAATGATCTCAGTTTAAATTATTTTGCCTTCCCTGCTATCTAAAAACAAAATCTTCTGGGCCGGCCCGTGGCTCACTCGGGAGAGTGCGGTGCTGATAACACCAAGGCCCCGGGTTCGGATCCCATATAGGGATGGCCGGTTCGCTCACTGGCTGAGCGTGGTGCTGACAACACCAGGTCAAGGGTTAAGATCCCCTTACCGGTCATCTTTTAAAAAAAATAAATAAATAAATAAAAATAAAAACAAAATCTTCTCATTTAGCATCACCACCAAGTAGTAAGTGGCTTCACATTAAGTTTGGCCTGGTACAAACTGATTGTTTCAGCTACTCTAGGTGTTTTTTTCTTTTTTAAAGCTTTCATAACACAATATGACAGAAAGGAAAAGGTATAGGCTTTGGAGACTGTCAAACATGGTTCAAATCCTCTCTACCACTTCCTTAATGTTTGACCTTAATCTCTGAATGAACCTAAGTATTCCCCTACTAACACTGGTTTTGAGGGTTAAATGAAATAACCTATTTTAAAGCACCTGGTACAAAATTCTCACTGATTGTTAGAAACATTTCCCATTAAACACCTGCATGGATTGAATTGTGTGCCCCAAAGTTTCTTGTATTAGAAACTTATTCACTACTGTGACAGTCTTAAGGGGATGGGAAATCCAATTATGGTAATTGAAAAATGGGGCCTTGTAGAGGTGATTAGATTATAAGGACTGCACCGGCATGAATGGATTACTCCACTGATGGTTTAATGGGGGTAATGTGCATGGTTCTGATGGCTTCAAAAGGAGAGCAAGTGAGGAGTTAGCTCTCTAGCTCAAGCCATTCACCATGTGACACCCTGTATCACTATAGAGCCACCACCAAGAACAAGGGCCTCACCAAATGTGTTCCCTTGACTTTGGACTTCCCAGCCTCTAAAATTACAAGCAATAAATACTGTTTCTTAACAAATTACTCAGTTTCAGGTATTTGTGTTATGAGAAACAGAAATAAAATAAGTTGCAAACCTTCCTTACACAGAAGGTAAGTGGATATCGTTTAATATTTCCTTAAATAATCAATGTCACCTATGAAACATGAAAGAGAAATATGTAAGGCTACGGAAGTATTTGCCCCTATGGCAAGCATTCTACAGGACACCTCAAATCTAACTTTAAAAGAAATCCAGAAAGCTAAATTTTGAATTCTTATCATTTGATAGTTTCCTCCCTCTTCCCTTTCTCCTTCTCATTTCTCACTACTGTATCCAAGATACATCACCAAACTCCCCACCAGTGTAACAGAAATAACACAAATTCTGGAATCAGACCTGTGTTCAAACCCTATATGCCATTTACAGATGAGCGATTTTGGGCAAACCACCTAGCCTCTCTGAGCCTCAATTTTTTTTTTCTAACCTTCAAAAAAGAAGTAATAACTTCTACGCAGAGAATGAGGGATAATTATTAGAGATAACTTATTCAAAGTGCCTAGTAAACCACACAAAATAAGCACCTGACAAACTGTAGCTATCATTATTATTACCACTCTGCTCTAATTTGCTGTAGGTTGGAAGCTAAATAACCAATATTGTAATATTCTGACATAAAACCAAACCAAAAAAAGTCATTCAAAAATAACCTAAGGATGATGCCAATAGCTAGGAAAAATTAAAATATAGTAAAATATATATATATTTGCATAAAATATCAATAACTTGTGAGATAATAGACCGATTTCCTTAATATACTAGGCACTACTGCAATTCCCTGGCCAAAAAGACAAACTCAATAGAAAAATGGTCAAAGTATATGAAAAGGCAGTTCATAGAAATATAAAACAAATGACTTATAAATATATAAAAAAGATGCTTAAGTTCACACAAAATGAAAATTAAAACAACTATGAGATACCATCCCCTCTCAGAGGGGCAAAAGTTAAAGGCTGATAAAACCTAGTCCTGGCAAGGGTAACAGGAAGCAGGTAAACTTATATATTACTGCTGGAAGAATAAATTGGTCTACTCTTTTGGGCAGAAAACATGACAAAATCAATAAATATTTATATTATAAATATCCTCAACACACTAATTCTCCTTCTAGGAATGTATCCTATAAAAACACCTAAACAAGGTATATCTACAAAGGTACTCACTGGAGCATCATTTGTTATAAGAAAGAAGTCACTTTGGTTAACAATATCCATCTGTAAGGTACTAGTCAATAAGGTGCTACAATTTTGTACAACAGGATTATTTATGCAGCTGTTTAAAATGAGGTAAATCTATGTTATCAATATCACCTACAGAACTATATGCAAAAAATATTCATTAAAATCTTTTGGAAGTTTACACAGGAAAACCTCTCTGGGTATGGGAAGTCAACTGAGTTATGAAGAAATGAAAACTTTTTATATACTCTCTGTAGTTTGTTTTTTAAACCAGGTGCACATATTATTTGTATTTTTGTAAAATGTGGTGGAAAAGGCCTATCCTATGAGTAAAAAATAATTCAGCCCACTTATATTCTCTTAGTGTTTGTTTTTTGACATTGGATAAAGCTTCCTAAAAAGACTTTAGAAAGTGGCCTGAAATTATTGAACAGATTTAAATCTGCAAAACAACATGCGCAACATTAAAATTGCTGCCTAAACAGACCACAACAATCAGTTTATGCTATAAAGTAAGAGGAATTCAATGTAGAAAGAACACTAAATTCTAGACCCAACACACCACCAGGCTGTGGGATCCTAAATAAAAAACCTTTATCTCTAAACCTCATATGTAAAATGAAGATAATATTTAGTATACAGTTGATGGTAACAGCAAAAATGTAAGGTACTATAAGCATTCAATTAATTAAAATTCTGTTAGAATTTCATAAATATATTATTACCATCATTACTACCTGTGGAACACCTACTTACTTTTTTTAATTTTTTATTGTTTTTTGTTGTTGGTGGTTGGCTGGTATAGGGATCAAACCCTGGACCTATGTGTTATCAGCACCAAACTCTAAGCAACTGAGCCAGCTCACTTTTTTAAAATATTCATCAGTATGAATTTTAGAATAAGCATTAATTACACTATATGAGATTCATATAACAGATTATAATTATATCAATTACAAATCTTTAAAATTTAATTTCCTAAGATTTCAGTAGATACCCTTTTTTTTCTCCTTTCACCAAACCAAGCCCCACTCAGCCCCAACATTATCCTATGAGTAGTTCAAATTACCTTTTCAAAGCTGAAAAAGTTAGCAGGGTTTCTAAGTGTGTCGCGGCCTGTAGATCCCTTTTTCTTAACGAGTGCTGCTGGATATTGGATAAAGTGAGGATATCATAGTCTGAGAGCAAAGAATCAAGTTTCTCTGAAATAAAGGCAAAAAGGTTATTAGCACCTAAACCTACTAATCAATTGTAATATCACTAAAATAAGAGTGCCAGACAATAAACTCTTCCTGATGTTATGCACTATGAAGTGCCCAGCACGACTAAGGAAGTATTCTCCCCAAAAAATTGAACTTGAATCTAATAAATACCTAACTTCCAGTTTTTAGGACATAAAGAGAATTAGATGTTGTCAAGTTAAATAACTGGAGGAAGCAATCAGCCCACAATCAGCCACACCTAGAATGTTAGAATTCCTACAGAGCAAATGACCCAGTTTCTTCAGGAAACAAATATCATGAGAAAGAAAGGAGGTGTGGAGACATAATAGACTTAAGAATACAGCGAGCAATCGCAACATTTGAACCTCTTTGGATCCTAGGTCAAACAAATCAACTGTGGAAAGGTATCTGAGACAATTAGGAAAATCTAAACATGCACTGCATATTAAATACTAATAATTTTGATATATCAAAGAGTATCATTTATGCAATGAAATAACTTCTAGATTAAAGACATTTCTGGCTTGTATGTTTAAAATTCCTAAAGCGAAGGTAGCCAACTTGACCTTATCGCCAAACTGGGCTACATCAATTTCTCATCAGTTGATGTGTAAAAAGAAACAGCAACAAAAGTATTAATGGCCTGAGCAAACCAAAACTGGGAAAGTAAATCTTTTACAGAAAAATCGCATATGCCAAATTAAAAAGCAAAAATGTAGTAGTATCCCATCATTGCTGCCTTCCGACACTCAATGTATCAATCCACTGACACCAGGAAATAGAACCAATAAAACCATCTAATCCCTAGAAGAAAATCAACATGAATTATTTTACCAAACTGAGTCAGCACCCAGGAAAAGAAAAGATGCACTCCCCAAAAAACAAAGATAGAAAAAGCACAAATAAGATTTGGTACAGAACAAGAGTAAATACAATAAACTATATGCTACATCTATAAATCACTTTTCAACAACCGAAACTGCTGCCTCCTGCAAAATGAGGAGGAGTTTTAGAAGACAAGTTGGGCAACTTGTGTCTCTTTAGAAACCATCTAAAAATATTTGAGATGAAGCTTTCCTTTTTTCTCAACAAATATCACCGCAGAAGCAATGGTATTCAAAAATTATTCCAATGGACTTAGAATTCCCTAAATGTAGAAGGAATTTAAATTACAAGTTTATTGCTACTGATGTTAAATATGCTCACAAAACCAGTTTTAACAGAATCAACCCAATACTTCTCTCCTTGCCTTCAACTAGTTCATTTACCAATTCATTCATTCACTGCTATCAACCAGGCATTGGTATAAATGTTGAAATATAGCATTAACAAAACAAAGTCCTTGCTTCATTTTAGTTTGGGAGAGAGAGACAATGCACAAGAAAATATATGCCAGTGCTGTGGACATTAAAGCAAGATAAAAGAGACAGGGAATAGGAAAGGCTAGTTTACAAAGAGTGATCAAAGAAGGAAAAGTACTTCATTGTTATGTAATATTTAAACTGGAAAAAAGCAAGGGAGTAAGCATACTGCTATCTAATGAAAGTAAATTTAAAGGCAGTTCATTCAAGGTTCTAACACAAGATAAAACTAAATAAAGTGGTAGGAAATTTCTTACTTGCTAGATACCACCCATTTTCTGTTAACAAAATGTCCTTTTAAATTTAATCCAGAGGAAAACTGTTTCAGAAGGTATCAGACTCTTTTATGCCAATGGAGATAATTCTTGGTGATTTGGTCCTGCCAATTGTAATGCTAGTGGCACCAATGGAAAATGTTCAAGAAGCTTACCGTTTATTCAACAATTTTTGAATGTTCCCTACAAGGCACCACAGTGGATGTTTTACTACATTATCCCCACAAACATCCCTGGGGCATTATCTTCATTTTACAGATGAAGACATAGACTCACAGTGAGTAAGTAATTTGTCTAATATCACAAAGCTAATGTAGCACAGATCTGGGTTTTGCATTTGGGGCTGCCTGGCTGAAATACCCAAGCTTTCTAGATGTCATACTTCTGAAACTCCTTTTTTTTAAAAAAAAAAAAAAAAAAGGCTAGCTCTTCTGGGACCTTCTACTTCTTGGTCTCCTATTTTTTGATTTGTCAACCAAACATGACCTCACAAAGCCTTTGTTTATATCTTTCCTCCGGCACTTTTTGGTTATGACAGATTTGTCTTAAATCATAAATAGATTATGAAATGACCAAAAGGGAGTTATGTTTCATTCATCACAGTATCCTTACCTCATAATACTCAGCATTGAGCCCTGCACATATCAGCACTCATATGTTCACAAAATGCACAAATTCTCAATGGTGAGATAACCAATACAATCCTTTAGATCTTCAACTTCCCTGATGCAGGTTGGTACATGAATTCAGTTTCATTCAAGACCATAATCACTCCTACTGACTTAGAAACTGAACCCCAGTTTTGTAGTTTCATTGTAATAATACAGGCCAATAGTTCTCAAAGTGTAGTCCTCACACCAGCAACACCAGCAGCACCTGGGAACTAGTTAGAAATGCAGATTTTCAAGCCTTCCCTCAGAAATCAATCAGATTTCTCTCAATTAGAAATCCTCATGATGGGTCCAGCAATCTGTGTGTAACAAGCCTTCCAGGTGATTCTGATGCACATTCAAGTTTGAAAACCACTGAATTAAGCTAAAGAAACAGCTCAAAGAAAAAAACCTTTAAGCACAAAGATGTTCATTATTCAGGCTTGCATTATTTTTAAGAACAAAAACCAGAAACAAGGTAAATTATTAACTGAGAAATAGATAAATTATAGCATTTCCAAATGATGAGAAAATCTATAACTATTTAAAATGCTTCTTACAACAGGTTTTTGACAACACAAGAAAATACTTATGCTATAATGTTAAATAAACAAAGGTAGATTACAAACTATTCATATTGCATGATCTTCACATATAAAAATAGGCCAAGGAAAAAAAATAAGGGCAAGACAGCAACCTCACTGGTTATTTTGGGTGTATTTTCTACCATAGGCACTTTTTAAAATGTAGCTTGCTAAAGCATTTTAAAATACTTAACTAATATGTTTCCACTGTAATTTATTCTCTTTTAATAACTGGATATCTCAAATAGGATGTCCTGGAGCCATTACAAACAGCTCTTCCTTACGAGCCAAACTGGAGCTACTTACTGCTCTTGCTATTGTCTTTTCACTAGCAAGTAACCTCTCAAGATACTCAATATTTCATGGCACTTCACTTCCCAAATTCTAACCATTGGTAATCTCAATGTTCAATAGCCTTTTCAACAGAATATTATTTCTCACCACTTCCCAAGAGTTTATCTCTTATCAATATACAAATACTTAAATAAACTTTAAGTACAAACCACCTGGCCTTCTTACACTGGAGTTTATTATAGTTAAGACTAGACAATGTTGCAAAAACTTTAACTCAGTACCTGGTCATATTCTGTATCTTAAAAATTCCACAATGACTGCCCATCATTCTCTAGAATGAGAGCACTTTTCCTTATTTTCTACAAGTTCTTCCAGCAATCACCCTAAACAAAGCTAAGCTTTTCTCATTTCAACTACTACAAACACAAATTAGAAAATAGAAACAACTTAATTCAAAAGCCCAGACGGAGTGTTATTTAGGTATCCCCTACTCACCCCTCCCCCGCTCGGCTAAATTCTACAGTCTCACTCCCCTCACTTGGTCTCCTGTCTGTCCCTAGAGACCCTATCCTCCTTCCTCACTGCCTTTGTATCTTTTCTATCCCACCTCCACCTCTCCTTTTTTACACACACATTCTACACTTTTTTCCCCTCTATTTCACCAAGCTCCATTTACTCATTTATTTAACAAATATTTATTGAGAACCTCATTTTTCAGGCCCTAGGGATACAAGAGTGAGAAAAAGAAATACATTTCCAGTAATTATGACATTGGAGGAAAGACCATCACACAAAAAATTATTATAAAGTGTGTTAGGGCCGGCCCGGTGGGCGTGGCGGCGCTCCCGCCGAGGGTTCGGATCCCATGTGGAGACCGGTTCCCGCTCACTGGCTGAGTGCGGTGCGGGCACAACACCAAGGGTTGCGATCCCGTTACCGGTCAGTCAAAAAAAAAAAAAGACAAAAAAAAAGTGTGTCATATGCTGAGAGAAGTAGTTGCAGGAAGTTATAGAAGGACAGAGAAGGGGCATGACCCTTGCCTGGTGAGCCAAGGATTCTTTCCCAGGGAAGCAGTAATGAAGTTAAGAGCAACAGGATGAGGCTGCAGCCAAGAGAAGGGAAAGAACGAACAGGTTTTAAGTAGAAGACATAATTAGAAACACAGAATATAAGAAGTGAAAGCAACTCAGGGAGGCTGCACTGCAGAGCAGCACAGAGAGAATATGATGAGTTGTGAGGCAGGAGAGGCAGGCAGAGGCCAGGTCATGAAGGGCCATGGAACAAAACTAAGTATTTTGGACTTTGGAAAAGGGTAACAGCTGTAAGTTAGAAATTTCATTATGACTGCAGCATGGAGAATGGGCTGGAGGAGAACAAGACTGGAATCTTGTGGAGCATACTAACACTTATAAGCACATGTATTTCACAAAGCCTAACCTTTTGGTATTGCACATTGAAGTGTTAAGCTTGGGAAAGACAGAAAACTGTCCCAGGACTAAAGTCTCTGTTGTAGATAAAAAAAATTCTAACACAGCAAAAATGCTTGCTATAAGGGCAGATGTCCTTGGTGCAGCTAAACCTTATGATGGGAAAGTACGACGATTATCTCATTGTTCTTTCTATAACCACCTATGTTCCTTTTCTGTAACTTTCTTGCTTAGAGAATAAAAAGGAGAGAAAACCTGATTGGAGCTATTCCCGGGATTTTTCTGTTCCTGAAAGAATTATTCCTGGGGGTAACTGCTTCGGGCCTCTCACTGCTCTGGAGAAATGGGCTTTGAGTAATCCTTTGCATCTCCGTCACCCTGGGAGAGG